AGCCTAGGAATGGAGTTATCTCCTAAACTATTCATTCCATCATTATTTATTTTTTGTATTTCCAAAGCATATTATATCTTCAGGGTTAATTGCCATTATAGATTGTTGTTGATACCTAAGACCCTCCTAGTATATTTATTTGGTGTCTAAAACTTCTCTTTATGATTTTAAAGACTTAAAAATGCCTAATTATGGCCAATAGTCAAAAGATCTTAGAGTATATAGGCTTTGACATACACTAAGCATATAGGTTTTAAAACAACTATAAATGAAACAAATAATTATGAAGATATAAAATACAAAGGATACACAATTTAAGATGAAACTTGTCGAATAATATTTTTTTGATTTTTTTTTATATCATTAAGCAAGCCATACAAACTTATATATATCAAGATTAATACATAGATCGAAATACTTACATAGTTTGATCTTACTTTCAAAAACTCTTCACCAAGCTCTGATACCAATTACAAAAATAAGAAGATGAGTTTTCTACTATTTTTATTATGGAGTTATGGAGTTAAGAGAAGTTAGAGAAGTTAGACAAAGAAGCAGACAACAAAGAGATTGTGAGAATTTACATTGCTTCATTTGTTGGCTTGAATATCAATTTATAGAATATATCTTGTAGATACAAACAAAAATCAAAAAGTCATCATAATCTAAAAAGTTTATCCTAACATTATTATATGTCTACTTTGTAGAAAATTACCACACTAATACGGCCAAAACTTTATACAAAAGTCTACAAGCCTAGGCATATGCTTATACAAAGTTTTCACAAAAATAAATACAAAGGCAAAAAAGTCTTAAAAAAAATAAACGAAAAATGATGATTATTTGTCATATTCAGACAAACTACTAGTATAGACCTCGTTGGAAAGGTCGTTGTAGCTCCCAAGGTGAGGAATCAAGCCACATCATGATGGTTTTTTTTAAAAAAATTTATTTAAAAAAAAGACAAATTATACTAATAGTCTCTAAATTTTCTTTCTTATGTTAGTTTAGCCCTTGATATTTCAATTAAAACATATTTGCTTTTTCAAATTTTCAGTATGTGTCAAATAAGGACAATAATTAACTCCATCAAATGTTTAGATGGAAATTGATCACGTACAATCCACATGACACTCTTTTGAGGACAAAACATACAACCAACAAATTTTTTTACCATCAACAAATCACAACCACTTATCCTAATGTATCCACGCACTTGACCACACTAAATCCCCCATACACCCCCTTTGTAGCTCCCTTTTCCCCCTCACCTTTGCCTACACCGTTTTTTCCTCTCTTCATCGCTTCTGGCCTTCTTCTCCGGTGTTAACTGTCCCTTCTCTCTCCAGATATCCTTTTAAAAAAATTATACCCACGCTACCTCTCTCTATTACATATTAGACAAAGTAAAACCAAATCATTAACAAGCAACAAATTTATCTGCGAATTTAAACAAACCAACAAATGAGTTCCACTAGGGCTGTGCAACGGACCAGCCGACCCGCCATAATTGCCCGACCCGACCCCAAACGGGTGGATGCGTGGTACTTGGCGGACGGGTGCGGGCCGAATATTTCAAGTTTCTCGGGTTCGGGTCGGGTGGCGGGTGATCCGCCGTTTTACCCCTCAAACCCGACCCGTCCGTGCCTTTTTTTCCCCTTTGTTTTTTCCCTCAAATTTATACACGCATCAGGCCCTTTTGTTTAGAATTGGCCCTAATTTCTTCAGACCAACACGCTGAGACTCTCTCTCTCTCTCTACCCTACCTTACCGTCCGACGATGTACACTTCTGATCGACGATTTGCTTGCACTGAACGACAATCCCTTTGCTTGCACTGAACGACGATCGACCTACTACACTGAGGTATCTCTCTCTTTCTCTCTCTCTCTCTAAATAGAAGATTTACATCAAAAATATATATACACAACACATTGAATATACACAGTGTAATATACAGAGTGTAAATTTCCAAAAATGAGTAAGAAAATTGCATCAAAAATTTTACAGTACCTCTTTGTGTATATATAATATATATTGAGTTGATTGATCGTATATATAATATATATCGACGATCATTTTACAGTACCTCTCTTCATATACAGATATACCTGTCTCTGTATATAATTTACAGATACCTCTCTCTGTTTTTTTCCCCTCTTTGATTGAGGGTTTGATGTATATATTGAGTTGTCATGTATATATTGATTGAGGGTTGAGGGTTTGATGATGTATATATTAAATTCTGGTGTATATATTGATTGAAGGTTGAAGGTTTGATCATATTGAGTTTTTTTTAAGACTAGTGTTTGATTGAAAGGTTGAGGGTTTGATCATATTGATGTATGTATTGAGTTTTTTTTTTCCTGAGTATTTGACTGTGTTAGTCCATGGTTAAGGTTGGCTTCCTGGGTTTAGAAACTAATAATTGGTTAATTGAATTTTATAATTGGTTAATTGAAAATGAACATAAACATCACTGATATAAAATAATTGACTGTGTTAAATTTCTGAGTATTTGACTCTGTTAAATTTATGACTTAATTTTGTTAAACTGTTAAACTGTGTCAAGCTTTTCTATGACTCTATCAAGCTTTTTTTTATCACTCTGTCAAACTATTAAATTTATGACTGTCAAGCTTTTTTTTTTGTTAAACTGTTGTTAGACCATGGATTTAAAAAGCATATTTTGAATGAATTTTTATTGGATTTGGCAGTATATTTGATAATCTTGTGGTCATGGATCCTTCAAGTGATGAAATATTGTTTGTGAGTCATGATGTTGAGCTCGAATCATCGTTTATTGACCCATCCACCCAACCTAATGCTCCTCCTCCTAGACCACCCATAGCCAAAACTAGTAGTAGTAGTGAGAGAACAACATCAAAGGCTTGGGATCATTTTGAAAAGATTAAGGGCATTGATGGGAAAGATAGGGCTATGTGCAAGTATTGTAAGAAAGAATATATGGCAGGCTCTAAGAGTCATGGAACGAGTAATTTGTTAAGTCATTTGAAAAATTGTACAAAGTATCCATATAGGGATACTCATGGGCAACAATCATTGGGATTTAAACCTAGAGAAGTTGGTGGGGAGGATGTTGTTGATGTTATGGCTACGTCATTTTCTGTAGAAGTTGCTAGAAGGCATCTTGCAGAGATGATAGTAATAGATGAATTGCCCTTTAGATTTGTGGACAGGGTTGGATTTAAGAGGTTTTGTAATGTCATGCAACCTAAGTTCAAGATTTCATCTCGATATACCGTTGCTAGGGACATTCTAGACATATACACCAATGAAAAGGAGAGGTTGAAGAAAATTGTGAAGGAGCGTAGAATTTGTTTTACCACAGACACATGGACTTCCATACAAAATTTGTGTTATATGTGTCTAACTGCACATTTCATTGATGATGATTGGAAGTTACAAAAGAGGATCATAACAAAAGAGGATCATAAATTTTTGTCAAGTTGAAGATAAGAGGTTTTGTAATGTCATGCAACCTAAGTTCAAGATTCCATCTCGATATCCCGTTGCTAAGGACATTCTAGACATATACACCAATGAAAGGGAGAGGTTGAAAAAAATTGTGAAGGGGCGTAGAATTTGTTTTACCACGTACACATGGACTTCCATACAAAATTTGTGTTATATGTGTCTAACTGCACATTTCATTGATGGTGATTGGAAGTTACAAAAGAGGATCATAACAAAAGAGGATCATAAATTTTTGTCAAGTTGAAGACCACACAGGAGAAACTCTTGGTAAAAAAATTGAGGCACTCTTAAAAGAGTGGGACATTGATGGCCTTTTTACCTTAACTGTGGATAATGCGAGTTCCAATAATCTAACCATTAGATTCTTGAAACAAACCACAAAACTGTGGAAGGGAACTATCTTGGGCCATGAATTTTTACACATGCGTTGTTGTGCGCATATTCTAAATCTCATTGTTAGTGATGGATTGAAGGATCTTGAGGCTTCTATAGCAAATGTGAGGCATGCAGTAAGGTATGTGAGGTCTTCTCCAAACCGCCTTGACACTTTTAAAAAGTATGTAGAAAGTTTAAAAATTGAGAGTTAGAGTCTTTTGTGCCTAGATGTGCCAACACGGTGGAATTCCACATATCTTATGTTGGAGGCGGTAGAAAAATTTGAGAGTGCTTTTCAAAGAATGGGTGAGGAGGACTACAATTACAAACACTACTTTTTGGATAATGAAGGGGGTGAGAGGAGAGAGATGCCTACAACCCATGATTGGGATAATTGTAGGGTGTTTTTGAAATTTCTTAGAATGTTCTACAATGCCACAAAGAGATTTTCTGGATTTTTATTTGTTACTTCAAACACATTCTACACTGAATTTTTTGTCATTGAAAATATGATTGGACAATTAATCAAAGACAATGATCCTATTTTGTCTTCAATGGCAAAGAAAATGAAAGAGAAGTTTGACAAGTATTGGGGAAATGGGGATAAAATCAATCTACTTTTGTATGTTGCGGTTGTGCTTGATCCTAGAAGAAAAATGACATACTTGCAATTTTATTTTTCAACAATTTTTGGTGGAGATATGGTGAAAGGGAAAGAAATGTTAGACAAGGTCAAAAATTGTTTGGGTAAATTGTATGATCATTATGCCACACTTGAGCCAACAAATGTGCATGCCTCCAATGTAAATGAAAGAGTAGATATGGTAATAGATGAAAATGACCCACACTCTATTGTGAACTCTCAATTTAACTCATTTTTGGAGGGACAATTTTCTAATAGTGGGAGTATGTCGGAATTGGACAAGTACTTGGGTGATATTGAGAAAGGTCGGAATAATTCTCAATTTGATATCTTGGAGTGGTGGAAGGTTATTGTAACAAAGTATAAAGTATTATCACTTATAGCATGAGATGTGTTGGCAATGCCTATTTCCACTGTTGCTTCTAAGTCGGCTTTTAGTACAGGAGGTCGTATACTTGATCCATTTCGTAGTTCACTTGCTCCCAAGATGGTGGAGGTTCTTGTTTGTGCACAAAATTGGCTTTGAAGTAACATTCCAATATGCCTTAGACAAGCAATGGAGGATGTTGAGCAATTTGAACAACAATATGATTCGGGTAATATATACAATGATTTATTTATTTTTTTTATCCATTTCATTTATTTTGTATTATTCAAAATTCATTATCTTTACTTTACATATTTTTGTTGTGTAATGTTTTTTGTGTAGTTGTTTCGGAGTCAAGCTCATGTTCAAGCCCAAGTCCAGAGACTAATTTTATTGAAGTTTAATATTATTGGTAAAATATTTCCCCTTGGTAAATGTTGTTAACATATGTTTACTTGTTTTAAGTTTAAAACTTTTTAGTGTTTTCTTTATTAAATAATTTCATTTTTTTGTTGTGCAGGTTTACATGGCTCATGATTTGGTGAAAAGAAATGAATGGTTTTTTTGCTACTTTTTGGATGACTGTAACTTATTTTTTTTGGATGCACAATATTTGTTGGATGAGCAAAAAAAAGTTACAGTCAAGGGGAAATATTGTGCATCCAACAAATATTGTGCATCCAAAAAAAATAAGTTGTAGAGTTATGTAGCTTTGAATTCTATTGGTTGTAAAATTGCTTCAAGGAATCCAACAAACAAAAAACAACACACACACACACACAAAAGAAAATAGAAAAAAGAAAAAGAAGCTTACCTTGATCATTTTTATCCATCTGTGCCTTTGTTTCAGTAATTATTATGAAAGCAATAAACACTTTGTCACGACCCTAAACCCGCCCCATAGGTTTAGCGTCGAGACCGGCCAGTAATCCTCGGATTACCAAAGGCCTCATGACATAATAGCATATAATGAGGGGCTGCAGAAGCAACATACAAAACATATACAGTCCATTGAGCCGTGTTGACATACATGGAACGGACAACTTAAAATTTCTTTATATCAAGATGCAATATTTACACACACCAAGTACATGCCAAAAGACATTCTGACTAAATATCACATAGTATAAAGTGTTTACAAAAGCAGCCATGAAACTCGACTTCAATCAGAACCTCCTCGGGAGTGTAGACGTCCCCAAACGTCCCGGGAAAATCCCGTTTTGTTCATTGGGCTCACTATAGCTCGGACTCAAATGTCACGGTTCTGAATCTAAGCCCGCAAAGTGCAATGCGAGACCGATAAATCACCAAAGAGTCCAAATTCGGCAAATCGTTTTGTAAAACAGATTTTTAGAAAGAAGTGCCATACATGGATTGCTTTGCCAGATACAGAGTTGACACCTAAATATTTTGTTTTGGGAAATTTAGGAAACCCTGACTCATGCCTATGGCCACGCATTCGTCATCACCAAAGTTGCCTCGGCTCGGGAACTTGGGTACGATTGGGGAAGGTCATTTCATGAGCACCCCCGCTCGCCCGATCGAAGATCAGCCACTACTAAGCATGATATCGAGTTTTTGAAAACACATGTGCTCTTATTCCGGTTTGTTAGCCTAGAATTATTATGTGATGCGCACAACATACAAGTATAGACTGGTATTGCCTAAGTTGGAACAAAGCATCGCATATCCATTTATTTTGAAAATGGATTGAAGTTTGCTACTCGCAAGTAGGCTGAAACACGGGTTTCGACGAATTATTCCAACTCAAGCAACACAACCTTCACCCACAGGCATTCAGACAGTTATATCACATAAGCACATAGCCTCATGGCAAGCATGCTATCATGGCAGTCACTCACACACATGCAAGGATGCTAAAGCATAAACACTCACCGAGTATTCCAAGCCAAAACAGAAACTAGTTAGTAATCAATGCATGATCCTAGTTCATGTTAAGATAGCTAATGCAACATATGCAAAATGCAACTAAGATAGGCTTAGCTATTCTAAGATGGCATATGAGATGCTACAGATAACATGTATTCAACTTGGAATTAAAATACAATGCAGTTAGTATGATGCGCCGAGCCCCATGCATGCAATACAGATGAATGAATGCAAACATGCGAACATATAGATGCTAATTGAAACATGCCCTAAAACTAACCATCATAAGCTGGTAAATAAAAGGGAGAAAGACGTGGGGTTGGAAGACATACATCACACAAACGCACACTTATTACAAAGTTCGCCCTCTCGCGGAGGGTCCGAATAAATAATACAGACTGAATAATTAATCAACTATCCCAGCTAATTAAATATTACAAAGCCCTTAATTAATTAACGAATTAATTACAAAACAATCTAAGTATGAAATTAAAGAGGCCGCTGCAGTTCTGCCTTGAAATGATTGGATGATGCATGCTCGATTCGCCTCCCTCAGAAACCCGTTGCCATGCCAACTGTTGCCTTTGTTTGTACTGTTTAATGCCTCTGAAAGCTGCGCAAGTCCCAAGTCTGTTTCTGAACCATTTTCTGAGCACTGTGGAAGGTCATCGGCCAAGAGACAGGACTACTGGCTATGGAAGGATGGTCATCGACCAAAGATAGGGCCATCGGCTGGATGTTGGTAGTCGGTCGGCACTAAAAGTGGCCGATCGGCCATTTCTTCCTGCAGAACACTGGTTTTGCTGCAGCAGAGGACAGACAGTGCATGACATGGAATTTACAAGCCAAATGTATGCACGACCACCCTCCCTGTAACGCCCTCAGAATAATACAAAATACCTAACATTTTAGACATGCCTTGATACAAAAGAAATCAACCATTTCTATTCATCAGAGTAATTCTTACAACTGCATTACATGTTAATAACAAAAGGGAATGCCCTATGGGCTACAGCTTTCTAAGTTAACACTTGGTTACAAAAAAAGAGTACTAACTCAATACATATTAAGCCTTTGGCTTGAATTTACATGTAATACATCAAAATAAACAAAAAAAAAAAAAGAGTCTTCAACTCTCATCATCATCCAAGCTATGTCCTTGGAGGTGGCATACTACCTGTACCTGAAAATAATGTCCCATAAAGGGTGAGCCAATGCCTAGTAGAGATATGCTAAACACAGTATGAGCAATAATTAAGACATTAGCAATTGATAAATGTTTAATTTCCATAAACCAATTCCTAATCCATTTTCATTTCATGACCATATGTTCATGTTTCATTTCAGTTTCCATTTCTTATCAATTTCACATTTTTTTCATCAACGGCTCAGAACCTGGCCAACCACTTATATGAGGCAATGCCTCATATTAAACATCTCCCATTTATACAACAGATAAACATACTAATTGTATCAACATCTCAACAGATAAGCATACAAGCTATATCCACATTTCAACAGATATGCATATTAGCTATATCAACACTTCCAATGACAAGCATATGAGCTGTATCAACACATTATCTGACAAGCATATGAGCTGTATCAGTGGAGTCCATCCCCTATCTCCTCCCAAACAACATCCGGTTTAGAGGTCCATCCCCTATCTTCCCCTAAACCGTGGAGTACATCCCCTATCTCCTCCCCTACACACAATGCATATATACACAAACGTCATATACACAATCAATCAATACATAACGTTAATGTATTCTGTCAACCGTCATACTCTATGACATATCCAATTGATTAGTTTTAGTTTGCCTAATCATCATGCATTGTCTACAACAATCAAAACTACCCTCCACCGGTAGCCCAAGCAATTATTTCTAAACAGATAATAAAAGCTCCCAACAGATAAAATATCGATGTTTTCAAAAGTGAGCGATTAATAAATCTAACTCCACTATTCAACCATATAATGACGCAATTCCATTATTTCCAACTCAATTCCATATAACCACAATTTCCTCTAATTAATCATACCAATTAATTTATACAACCAATTAGGGTTTTCTACCCCATTTCTCAATATTGACCCAATGGTCTATATTTCAACAACCAACAACAATAACACCGTTTTGAAACCCAAATACATATTATGAGCCCAAAATCACAAAACCCTCTTTAACACATTTTGAAACCCTAAGTTCCAAAATTTCCCAAATATAACACTTTATCAAAACAACTAAAAATCTAGGTCAAGGACCATAAGAGTGAGTAGGAACCCCTACCTCAAATTCGGAGCTCAAGGGAAGAAGATGACGAAACTCAACGTGCTCCAAAACTCGAAATTTTCGGATCAAGGTAAAGCCCTCGACGATTAACCCAACTTTTGTGAAGACCCAAGGTGAGGAAAACACCCTAGCTAGATCAATACTTAGAGAGAAGGCAAGGCTTTAGAGAGAGAGGCTCTCAAATGGCTTTTTCGGAAAAGTAAGAGAGAGAAAGGATGAGAAAAAGTGATTTAAAACTGCCTCACAGCCAACTGATATACGACATTCCCGCTCGAGCGGAAAACACAACGTTCGAGCGTCAAGAACAAAAACTAGGTTTGCTCGAGCGCAATAAGACCCGCTAGAGCGCCAAGTCACAAGAATAAAGCACATCCGCTTGAGCACGAAAACCAGTCCGCTCGAGCGTAGATTTCCACCTCCCAGAACTTACACCCAAAGGTACTACCCGCTCGAGTGCCAAAGTACCTGCTCGAGCGCAAAGAAACTGCTCGAGCGTAAAAATCACACCTGCAGAAGTTTTGCAGGGACACGGAATACTGGGGGTGTGCAATCCCCGCTCGAGCGCAAGAAGACCCGCTCGAGCGGACCTCCTAAAAACTGGGTAACAAGGAATTGAAACCAAGGCCTAACCAACCTGTAATAACCCTGCCCAAAACATCCTAAAACTCAATCAAGCGGAATTAAAGGATGACAACAGGATAGATACAACACTCAACTCCACGGAACTGAGTCTGGAATACCACAGAACAGTAAAGGGACAACCGGGATCGCTATACTCCCTATCATGCTATGAACTCAAGGGAGCATGGCACTCGACCCTCGGGCCACCATTCACGCATTTCGATGCATTATGGCCAAAGGTGTCAAAGGTGCATATCAATATGGAATGAATGCAACAAAAAAATGAATACTACACACTCTATCATGTTGGGTCAAGAGTGTCGGCGACCGAGGATTGAAGGATGTTTTGTCACTTTAGGTACGAAACGTCCCTTGGTTCTCATGTTTGATTTAACACCCCAAACCAAACAAAAATGCAATGTATGTATGCCAAATGCAATGAGAAACATGCAATTAATGCAATGCAACATGAACATTGCAACTTAAAATGCAAGCAACATGGTAATGCAATAGGTATGTGATACTACAATGTAACCTAGGCATGTAAGTATATCAAGTGATAGGCATGCAACAATGACACTAACCACAAGGATGCGACAACATGCAATGCGGTAAGCCTACAACAATACACGAGTGCATGATCCATGGACCTGCACTAAGGATGGATAGGCCTCAGCCGTACCAAAATAGTGGCCAAAGTGCCAAGAAATGATGGACAAAACACACTCAAACACGCACATGTAAAGGTCCAACATTTAGGCATAAAAAAAAGTCGACTCTTAGACACATTAAGAAGAGACAAATATGGACATATGACAAGTATGATAAGCTCTGAAAATGCGCGAGGGATGATGCCAAATCAACCAAGCCATGCAAGTAGGGCATGCAATAAAGCCCAAAACTTGAGACTAACAAAGGGGTTCAAACCATGGCCATATCAACCAAGCCCCAAAGAGCCAAGATGACTTAAAATAGTCTTAGGGCAGACCAAAATAAGGCTACATCATACATGGAACAAGGCCAAAACACGCTAAGAAATGGGCGCAAAACAGGGGGGCATTCAAGGCCACAAAGAGAGCACTCCACTATAACTACCTCAACCAAACATGGCATGGGTTATGCCATGAAAAACAGAGTTATAATATGTCAAGATAAGCCCGAATGCCCACTTAGATAGAATCTAAATGACCTAAGTCTAGAGGTATGCACAATGGCCTAAATATGGAGCATAAGACAACAACTCTTCAAAGCATTGAAAGGATGGCAAATGCAAGCATACAAGCATGGAACATGGATTGAAATAGCATGATAAATGATTCCAAACCACTGAAATAGCCCGAGTAAAGCATGCTCATGACTCACACTCCCAAAGCTAACAAGCTAGAATGCATGGTGGCTATACAAAACATGGCAAACATGACCAAATCAACACTAAACAGAGCTTAAACATGTCACAACATGGATAAAAGCTTCATAAAGTCAAGCCAAAACGTGCAAGCATGATGGTCTAAATGCATGATACATGTTTAGGCAAATGAGAGGATTGCAAGGCAAGTGCATAATGCATGCAATAAGCCAACGAACTAACATGAAACAGAGCTATAACATGATAAACTAACACCAAATACCCAGTGAAATGAAGCTAAAACTATAGTGATCCCGGGTTTACCCTTGTTGTGCAGTGATCCGGGCATGTGCCCGTGGATGTTGGTAGTTGATCGTTATCTTGTTTGCATCCTTTCTTACTTTGTATTTGAGTTGTGGGATGTGTTGGGCAGGTCTATTATAGGTTGGTTGAGTTTAGAAACCAAAACTAGTTGCCCAGATTTTGGCCTGTCCGCTCGAGCGGGTATTATTGCGCTCGAGCGGGGATTACACACTTCCAGTATTTTGTGTCTCTGCAAAACTTCTGCAGATGTGATTTTTACGCTCAAGCGGGTTTGTTTACGCTCGAGCGGTGGCGCTCGAGCAGGTCGGTGGCCACTCGAACGGGTAGTACTTCCAGAGTACAAGTTCTGGGAGGGGGAAATCCACGCTCGAGCGGACTGGTTTTCTCGCTCGAGCGGAAGTGCTTTATCCTTGTGTCTTGGCGCTCGAGCGGACATTATTGCGCTCGAGCGTGTCCAGATTTTTGTTCTTGGAGCTCGAGCAGCACAAAAAGTGTCCAAACAAGGCCTAAGAGGGGGTAAACAACCCCCAACCCAAAAGTGACCTTAATGAAACATCTTAAGCATGAAAATATAGAACTTTTATCAGTTATACACTAAGCTTAAAACAACATGCAAGAAAGGCTAAAGGCTTAAGAAAAAATGGGGAATAAAAGAGGTAGTTCTCACCCTTGAAGAACACTTCAAGAACACCAACTCCAGCACCTCCTTTTGATCAAAACCAACTCAAAAACTCTGAAATCAACCCCTCAACACCTCAATAACCAAAGTGTAGTGTAACACTAGGTGCCTTAGTGCAAAAATAAGAACAAAAACACACTTTTGAACACTATTACACACACAACTAGAGAGGGAGAGGGAGATATAGAGAGAGAGGTATATCTAACTTCTATGTCAGATGAATCAACCCCTGGAAAGGGAGGGGAGGCCCTCCTTTTATAGAAAAACAACTTTACAAAGCTTCCAAGGGAAGCTAAATAAGGCTCAAATCCCTCCATACATGTGTATGGAGGGCAGAGTCTGTGCTCACCAGCTAGCACAGCTGGCATGCACAATGCCTGAAAAAGGCAAAGAAAAGGTCTCGGCTAGAAAAAGTGGTCGATCGACCAAATAAATGGCTGATCGACCAACTAAAGTGCCGATCGACCAACACACTTAGCCGATGGAAAGAAAAAGGGGCCGACGGCCTCAAGCCCTGGCCGGTGGGTTGAGAAAATGGTCAACAAGCCATCCTCTTCCCTTAGAAGCAAAAACATAAGTGTTTGGTCCATGACCAAGCACAAAACAAATAAGTTGAGAGATCTTGAGGCAAGGCGTGTAGCCGAGACCTCCGAGAACTCAAAAAAAACACGAGCATGGATGATCATCGAGTGTTCAAACGATAACGTCCAAGTCTTAAGGACGGTCAAAAATGGGGTGTCTATAGGGAGGCACAAGGGTTGGCTGACAAAACTGAAGCATAGGCCATCAACTCTAGGCCTGATCACATGCTTGCTCACCTACATACATAATATAAATAGTGAGCTAAAGCCCAGTGAATAATAACAGAGTAAAGATTTCATTGAATGATGTTCATATGGAAATAAAGCCTTGTACATATTTAGCTACCATAACAGAGCAGATTCAAAGGCATTTTTACATTCGTAGTCAAAACTTGTGCATGTATCATATCATAGTACGTGACACATCCATCAGTATTAACAAATCCGATGACCCACGAAGGGACTGCCACGCTGGCTTACTGATGACTCATGTGCACAGAGACATTTCTGATTACCCATAAAGGGACTTTATAACCCATGAAGCGACCTGATGAACCGTGAAGGGATGTATATTATATAATGCTAAGGATGCCACGGATAACTTTCAGAATCTTGGACAATCATTCATTCATTTCAAACACAGTATTTCATTTAAGAAAACTAATTACTTCACATTGTAATATTCAGAAAGTACTTAACATTGAACATAACTTTACAAGGTCATTACTCACAGATGATTGCTAGCTCTAATTAGATGGTAAGGTGGCACTTCAATTGTCCTGAGGCGCGTGACCTACATGAACATGCATACGAAAACACACTTGAAACACACGTTCGCATTGTACATAACTTATTTCATTTGTTCTTAGTGTGTTTCTAGTCTTTAATCTTCATTATGGAGTCTGAACATGGCCTAGGAGTGCCTAGGATGGAATGAGGATGCAAAAATGTGTTGGAAAACATTTTTCAAAACTTGCTGAAAATAGGGTTCTCTCTCGAGTGTGGCTTTTCCCACTCGAGCGGACATGCAGACAATGAAGCTCTACTCGAGCGTGACTTCCCTCGCTCGAGTGTACTGCAACTTTTGAAAAAGTACTGGTTGCATGTTTTTCACGCTCGATGGACGCTCGACCCATGCTCGAGCGTGAGACTCAGACCCTCGCTTGAGCGGACTGCAAAACATATGAACTTCTGGGCATATGCATTTCACGCTCAAGCGGAAGTGCATGTACTCAGAGTGCACGCTCGAGAGTGAAGTCCTCCGCTCCAGCGTGGATAAAAAATCTAGAATTCCCAGATTGATCCTCAAGCACAAAACTCAACCTTTAAAGCTTTAAACTTGATTTTTCTGGGCCAAAATTTGAGAAAATACGTGAAGACCCTTAAAATAACATAAATTAAAGATCAATTCAAAAAATCATGGCTCAAAGGCTTGCCAATTGTACAAAATTCCAACACACACTTTATGAATATGACATTAATACAACATGCATGGACTCCCTTGAATTCAACCACTTCAAAACATGATCAAACCTAGTAATTTAATGGAAAACATGATGAATGACCCAAAATGTAAGTGAGATTAACACATGCATGAAGTCTTTGAAATCATGCTCAATTGGTAAGAAAATGCACATGCATACATGGATTGATCTACCTCTCTACTCCTTAAGCTTGATTCTTACCTTTTATAGTTCAATTTACTTGAATTCTTGTATGAATTAACTCAACTTCAAGGCTAAAGGCTTGGTTTCATACCTTAGATGTTCGATTGGGCTCTAGGTGCTAGAATCTTGAACTAGATAAACAAATCCTCAAGTTTTCTTCTTTTCTCCTAGTAATTCCCTCCTTGTGAAATCAATTCTTCAACCTAGGACCTAAATCCCTCAATTCTCTTCCTCTCTCACGTTGAGCATCAAAATGAGGAAGGAAGAAATGAAAAGGTAAGCTTAGTGGGGTCAAAATGGCCCTATAGGTAGTAATTAATCTAAATTAATCAAATGGCATTAATTTAATCTAATGTAATCGTTCCGAACCGAATTTTACTTAAACCTACCATAAAATTCTATAAATCCTAATTAGTATATAAATCGAGTCAATTTTTGTATCCGATGCCGATAAGGCCTTAAATTCGCAAATCGAAACTAAAACATAAACAGAGCTTTCTACGCTAAACAGATAGAGACACATTAATAATGCAATACACATGTCATTAACTCATGATTTCTTCTTAATCACTTGTTAGGTACACTTAAGCATGAATTAACGTTAATTAAGGGTCGGGCTTGTTGCACACTTGAACACCAACAACCAAGAAAAATCCCACGTCGAAAGAAATAGTTCCTTGTACAATCATCACAAGGCAAAGCCTAGAGTGGCAAATAAAAATTGGCGATGAGTACACACACTGAATGAAGGAAACATAGAGCAAACAAACCATGAAATTTCTTGTACACACACGGAAAATGCTCAATAATAGAAGAAACTAAGCAATAACATTATGATGAGAGAAACGTTTTACTTACATTTCCCATTGCATGTAGTCCCTTGTCAAAAAATAAATGATTCCCAAGAATGAGAACAGTAAGCCAAATGCTGTCAATCCCTGCCCAATCTCTGTTTCATCATAGAGTTTTCATTTCTTTCATTAATCAGAATTTTGAAATGCAACAATTCATAAAAATAGAGTTAATGTTATGAAGGTGAAGAACCTAAATAAGTTAATTGGTTTGTATAACAAAATAAACATATAGAAGAGTACCTTATCCAATGTCAATAAACACCAAACAATCAATAATGGGATTCGAGGATTTCAATTGCCAAACCAGTTTAAGAACATAGAATTATTATGCATACCAAAAAACAAGAAAGAAATCATCAAAATGCGAAAACTTTGATTAAACCATATGAGGGTTCCAAGCAATTGAGGGATAGATAGATGGTGGATAATTTGCAGCCCACGTGTCCAGCCCACACCTGCAAGGAAAAAATTAAAAAAAATAAATAAGTAAATAACTGAAGGAAACTAAACTACTTAACAAATAGAGCAAAAATCCAAATCCAATAAATAGCTCAAGGAATGATATAATTCTTAACAAACTTATTTGCATAAACAAATAGCACAAATTGATTCTCAATTCCCAATAATATTTGAGAGTACACATTTAAAAACACATAATCTTGTGGTTCCTCAATGATATACTAATATTATTGCTGTCAAGAGGATCAAATTCATCTTCTAGATCAAAATAATTTTGCTGTGAAGAGGATCTACCAATATTCTTGGTGGATTTAGTAATACCATTTTTCAGGCTAAAGGAAGACCATTTTCTTAGATGAAACCTAATTTACTTCCAGAAGTTGCTTTTAGAATCCAAACAAATTTAATCCATTTACCCAAAATACCCACCCAGCAATTACAGAAAACAAAGACAGAAGTTGGGTTGGGCATACTGATATTATTCCAGGCAGGGAGAACAAACTAGTAAAAAAGCAAGGTTATCATCATCAATCAATACAAGTATGTTATTATTGGGTTGGGCATATTGTCAAACACATGGTGAGCACAAGATAAAATTATAACAGAACAACAAAACAAAGATAGCACATAGTTTGAGCCACATATTAAATTGAATTAGGGCAACAAAACAAGGAAATCAAATACATACTATCAAACAAAGCACCCTTAAAAATCTAAGATCTTTCACCAAGAACCCAATGTCATATGATCGAGCACATGGTGGACACACAATTAAACAGTTGTAAGGATCAAGAATAGAGCCCCAAATAGATAAATTAGGAATAATTTCATAATTGATAAAAGGAAGAAGACACACCTCAGTTTCTGCAGGTTGTTCCAGCTCATAGAACATACACCAATCCAGGATGTATGGCCATAAATATACTGAACGTTCTGTTTCGGTGATGTGTTTGAAAATCCACTTAACTCTTTTAGATCTTCCACCGTTCCACCGATCACACCACTCAACTCCTGAAGAGCTTATTGGTTGTGTCATCAGCTTATCCCTTCTTGAAGGTTCCTGCTGCTTGTGATCTTCCTGAAATGGTGATAGCGGTGTATGCGTTTTGTGCAAGATTCCAGAAGGGAGAACTGGTGGCCTCCGATTAGTTGGTCAATCGGTTGTAGATGTCGTGGCTATTGTCATTGTTAAGAATAGAGAGAGGCATAGCCAAGCACCAACGTTACACCACTGCATTACACCACTGTTATATCCTTTTTATATATGTTATAGATATTGTGAGAGGTAAAAACTTGATCTCAAATATCACCCCGACGCCTATGGCCAAGTAAGACAGGTGGTAGGGTAGCCAAGCTAGTAACTGGGCAAGATTAGTTGGTCGAGTTAGATACAGTTGGAAAGTTGAATTGGATAATTAGGGGTGGTTTGGGATGTTTTAAATAAGTGTATTTTTGACTTTTTATATAAAAAAAATGTGTAAAAAGTAGAGAAATTAGATAGAAAAATAGATGCTAGATGTTGATTGATATGACCTAAATAAGTGTATGTATGCAAAAAAATGTACTTTTTTAGTGCATGTCAAACAAACACTAAAGTCAACCTTAATGTCGAGCTACACAGTTGGTCAGATAAATTAGCCCAAGCAAAGGGTGGACTAGGTCAATAGAAAGTTTACTCATCATAGAGTGGACTTATCCATTCCTAGAACATTGTGAATGGGGGGCACAATCTCACATTAAGCGGAACAATAAGGAGAAGTGACAACAATTTCTCAACTACTTGTTACGATAAGTTGCAGATCTCTAAAAAACAAAAAAACCACGATACCAAGTTAGGCAAATAATGACAAATATTCTAGCAATTACTCTTTGGTGTTTTGAACATCCTAACCGAAAATTTTAATTTGAATGTTTTTTGTAGACAAATTTAATTCGGGACTAACAAATTTTAACCCAAATGTTAAATAAATTTAAAATTATATAACCAAAATACTAAACGAACTAGGGGGGTTCTTTGTTGCACACCCCACCAGAACTTTCTGAGTGAGAACCACTCTCCCCTTTCCAAATGAAGAAACGAAACAACAAAAATCCCAAAAACTCCCAAAGAAAAATCTCTAGAACATTCCATCAACACAATTTTCATAAAACACCGATCGGTTCTATTTATATAACTTCGAGCACACTCTTCCAAAAGTTTCGTTGTCTCTATTTTCGTAACACAACAAGCCCACTTCTCAACGACATAAACTACCTTCCCTAGTAAGAAGAAGAAACCCAGAAGGCGCATACAAGAAAACAACAAAATAAAAAATAAAAAAAATCTGGTGTATTTTGTGTCCTTCACTTTGTCCTATTAATATCATTCATTCAATTCATTCTTAGCTTCAAATCTATGTAGCTTTAAATCCATTGCAATCTCTTCACTGCTCTGTTTCCTTCTTTGTTCTCCTCTGTTCTGCATATCTTAATCTCCTCTTTGGATCTTTGACAAATCATCACTTTAACATTTTCATTTGATTGTTTTTTCAAGTTAGATTCTAATTTGACTAGGTAATTGTCAAAAAAAAAAAACCCAAAAAATTTTAACTTCCCCCCCCTCTTCTTTGTTTTGCAATTTCTTCACTACTCTGTTCAAACTCCATTTTTTGTGCTCTGTTCTATAGTATCTCAATCTCCTCTTTAGCACCTTTGGATCTTTAACAAATTTCAGCTTAACATTCATTTGATCAAACCATTTAATTGTCTGTCAAGTTAGACCGTAATTCGACAAGGGAATTTTGACAAGAATTCAAACCCAACAAGATTTAACCTTTTTTTGTGGCAATCTCTTCACTACTCTGTATTCTCAATACTACATTCTCTGTGCTTCTCTGTTCTTCACAGTATATCAATCTCCTATTTGGCACCTTTGGATCATTCACAAGTTTCTAGTTAACATTCATTTGACCATAACATTTTCTTCTTTTTTGCAATTTTGATTATGAATCCTTCATACCCAGTTAAGGAGGAGTAGTGGGGATCGAGTTCATCACAATCCGGTGAGCTGGCAAGGATGTGGCCACCGCTGCCACAGCCGATGGAGGGGCTTCATGATACAGGCCCCCTTCCATTTCTGACAAAGACCTATGACAAGGTGGATGATCCAACCAATAATCAAATAGTTTCTTGAAGCAGGGAGGGTCACAGCTTTGTTGTTTGGGATCCACATGCCTTCTCTACCAATCTCCTCCCAAGACTCTTCAAGCACAACAACTTCTCAAGTTTTGTCAGGTAGCTCAACACTTATGTGAGTACTCTTCTCAATTGAAAATCTTGTTTTTCCTTGCATTTTTAATATCAAAAGGAATAAATAAATAATAAATAATAACTAAATAAATATATATAAATGGTAAATGCAGTATGTTTGGGAAACTATGAGAATTTCCTCAATTCCTAGAACTATTTCATTGACTGTTTATTGATCTATTTTTTTAGCGTGGATGATCTTCATGTGGGTTCTTGGATTCTCACATATCTGAATGTTAAGGCACTTTGAATTGGTCTCCATTCTACCCTTTGATTTGGATGATTTAGAACTTCATTTCATTCTTTAAATCTTTTTATTCTTAGTTTTGCATATCTTTAAAGGGTAATGCTATGGTACATTTACATGTACCATACATTTAGTTATGAAGTTATGTGAATTTATATCATAACTAATATCATATAGATCATAACCATTATTGTCACAACCCAAACCAACCCCTAAAAGTTTGGACATGACCGGTCTCACATGAGGCCTAAACTTGGTTACTTTAATGGCACTTAACCTCGGGGCTTAAACGGAAGCGAAACAATAGAAGAATAAACATTCATTGAGTTGTGTCTAAATGCCAGGATTAAAGAGTTTTGCCATACATATATAATATTCTATGATCGTTTCACAATACAAAATGTAAAAGAAGAACAACTTGAAAGTTAAGCATCATCAACTTTTATACACATGCCCATTGTTCTCAAAACTTACAACAAAACATATTATCATAGGGATTAATCAAAATGAGACAAAAGAGTCACTTTGGGTGACTTAGCAAAACAGGTTCAGCTACAGGCTTTTGGGCTAGCCTAGGGTTGATCCACAAGCTGGTGTAGACGTGCCCGAACGTCCCAGGCTCCGCACGCGACATGGCGCGAAACCCTGTTTTGTTCATTAGGCTACTATTACAGTTCGGACCCAATGTCACGGTTCTGAATCTAATCTCACAATGTGTGATGTGAGACTGATAAATCACCAAAGAGTCCAAATCCGGCAAATCATTTTGGAAAACTGATTTTTGTAAAGAAGTGCCAAACATGGACTGTTTTGCCAGATACAGAGTCGCCACCTAAATATTTTATTTTGAAGGAATTTAGGAAACCCTGACTCGTGCCTAAGGCCACGTGTTCGTCATCACCAAAGTTGCCTCGGCTCAGGAACTTGGGTACGAGAAGGGAAGGTCATGCAATGAGCACCCCCGCTCGCCTGATCGACGATCGGCCTGTACTAAGCATGATATCTTATTTTTTTGAAAACACATGCGTTCTTATTCTGGTTTATTAAACCTAGAATTACTATGTGATGCGCACAGCATACAAGTATAGACTAGATCGCCTAAGTTGGAATAGAACATTGCATATTTGTTTGTTTGAAAACAGTTTGAAGTTTGCTACTCGCCAGTAGGCTAAATCGAGGATTTCAATGAATTGTTCCAATTCAAGCAAGCCAACCTTCACCCATAGGCATTCAGGCAGTTAATCACTTAAGCAGTTAGCCTCATGGCAAACATGCTATCATGGCAACACTCACACTCATGCAAGGATGCTAAAGCATAAACACTTACAGTGTACTCCGAGCCAAAACAAAGAACTAGTTAGTAATCAATGCATGATCCTAGTTCATGTTAAGGTGACTAATGCAACACATGCAAAATGCAACTAGAAATAGGCTCGGCTATTCTAAGATGGCATATGAGATGCAACATTTGATAACATGTATTCGAATTGGAATTAAAATACAATGCAGTTAGTATAATGCGCCGAGCCCGGTACATGCAAGACAGATGAATGATACACGCATGCAAGCATGAGGTATGCTAAACAAAATATGCCCTAAAACTAACCATCGTAAGCGGTTAAGTAAAAGGGAGACAGAAATGGAGGTTGGAAGACATGCATCACACACACGCACGCTTATTACAACAATTCGCCCTCTCGACGGAGGGTCTGAATAAATAATACAAACCCACTAATTAACTAACTATCAAGCTAATTAATTATTACACAACCAAATTAAATAACTAGCTACAAGTAATTATTACAAAAACTTAAACTAATTAACGAATTAATTAAGTTACAAAACCGAATGCTAATTAACAAATAAAGCATTAAAATATGTAGACTAGGCCGCCTCAGCTCTGCCTTGAAGAAGTTGAAGATGCATGCTCGATTCCCGTCTTGAAAGCTCTCCAAATGCTATTTAGAGGCTCTGTCTGCAGGGTGTCTTTGAGAACTAGCTGCTGGATCTTACCAAAAACATGCTGAGGAGTGCACCAGTGGCCTGCCGACCATGAGAAGCTGTTGCCGACCACCCAGCCGGCCAAGAGTGCACACCGCCGGCCAAGGATGAGAGGTTGTCGGCCATTGGTGTGTTGTGACACCAAGCTGCAACAGAGCACAAAACAGAGGAAATGGAGGGCCTCCCAAGGATATGTACGCATTATGCCATCTCAAATCACCTCGAAACATCAAGGGAGAGGCATTATCGGATCCAAGACCATCAATCACGCATCTCGATGCATGATGGCCAAAGATCCAACTTGTGCAAATCAATGTAGAATGAATGCACAAAAACACATAAGTGCCTAGAACTCTATCATGCATTGTCAAGAGTGTCGGCGACCGAGAATTGAGACACGTTTCATCACTTGAAGTATGAAATGTCCCTCGTTTC